TTCCCTACCTTGTCTTACCTTACAGCTATTTATTTATTTCAAGTCTCTTCCTATGCTTTGTTACACCTCCTTAATGCTCACCATTCCCAATCCTCACCTCTAAATTTACTTTCCTTTCTTGGATAAACTTCATCTACTCTAATCCTTTGCTATTTTGTTTTATCTGTACCTTCTCCAAAATATTTCTAGTAACATAAACCACTTTGTCTGCTACAAAATAGCACTTATCTGTGAATTCTGATTTTTTTAACCATTAGGATTGAATTCTTATAAAATTTCAGTTCATAACTTGAATCCAAATTGCACTCATTTTTGAAACCCCTCCTTTCCTACAAAAAATTATTTTCCTGCAAGACACAAGGAATCTTCAAGGACAAATAGCAAAATATATGAAGTCCATCAGTCATAAAACTCCCTACTGTTTTCTTTCCCTCTTAATCTTCCTTACTATTTCCTTACTTTTGCTTTGTATATATAAGAGAAAACAGGGTTCAAACTTGATGCTTTGCAAAGCAAATACATACTTTTAAAATGATTAACCTGATCTCCTGGTCATCAAAGGTCATGGAAAATTTACATTTTTTTAAAAAAAATATATACTCACCAGTTTCCAAAGTTCTCACCAGAAGTGGGGAAGATGACTGATTCCCATGGCCGAGTCTGGTGAATGCCCTTACAGAGATGTTGTAGAGGGTATATGGCTTCATTTCACTTAGTGATATACTTGTAGATGAGGCATTTTTAATAAATAAATCATTGGAATCACTGTACAGAACTTCAAAGTGAGTTATGAGACCATTAGGCTGCTCAGGTGGTAACCATCTCAGATTTATTTCTGTTGCAGTTACATTTATTAACTCTACATTTTGGGGTGGGGAGTCTGGTTCTGCAATACAGAAATCAAAGAGAGAAAAAAAACCAACCCTCTGAGACTTTCAATTAATTGAATATAGGGCTGATGTCATAAACCTATTGGATCCTAACATTTAGATTAGCTAACTCTACCAAAAGGGCTACACTCAGTCAGTCAGTCAGTCACTCACTCACTCACTCACTCACTCTCCATCTTAAAGCCTTACCACTTTTTATCTAAGTTAATTTCAATATGTCTTCTTTTCCACTCATAAAACCAGGCATCTTTTTGCATCCCAGACACTTTAGCTTTTCTGGAATTTCTTTTCTCATCCACTTACAGATCTATCCAAAACTGCATTTATTAAGTAAAAAATGTCTTCTGTCTACTGCTCTCATGCAGACTGATCCTTGAATCCTCTCACTGTATTCCTCAAATTCAAGTCCTTTAAATTTAGCTGAATGCCATCTTACTGCTTTCTTCTTAAATAACCACCCATTTTATTTCACACAGCCAACCACTGAACCAAGAAAGGGACTATATGCACTGTAACTAAATTCCCTTTAGTTTACTGATACAGCTGCTAATTGATGACCATGAAGACCCCAGGGTAAATCTCGCATGCACTGGTGTGAAGGTCATGCACAAAAAAAGTCTAGCTCCAGGGTATTGTGTTGGCTAAATCTACTGGCAACATCTGAGTTCATGTGACTCCAATGAGCTAATAACACATGGAAGTGTTGAAGGAGTGAGTGGGCTGCACTTATGAATAAAATCAGCTTTGAATGTCAACCTTGATTCCTCTGAAGGCTTCATCACTTCACCCCTGAAATAATCTGGTTTTAAAATTTAATAAAATGTACTAAGAACCCAGGACTATGTGATTCAGTTTGTGCAGAAATACCTATATCCATATATTTCAGAATTTATCATGAATTTTTTTGTCCTAAAGGTCTCACAAATCACTTTCATTCCTGATTTCTGAGCCCATGAATGAGAAGTGTTAACTGTAACAGATCACTACTCTCTGTATGACAAAACTGCCCACATGGATATTTTCCACGTGAAGAAGCTTAATTTTCAGTTCAAATGCATTTTGCACTTTATCTGGTATGGTAAAATATTTAAATGCAACAGCCTAGTGTCTTCCATCCTACTATAAGTTATCTAAGACAGATGTAGTGAACTTTTATTTGGAGGTATCTTTCTTTTCAAGTCAAACAAGTTTTCACTCCTAGGTTGACTAAAGTTAGCAGACATGAATCTCAATCTGAATTACCTCAGGAAAACTAAAGAACAACAAGAAGAAAAGAGTAATTACACATAGCCTTAAAAAAAGGCAGGAATTATTGGTGGTTTTCTCATTAGTTTCCTCAAGGCTTGCACACATCTCTTACCAATGGATGAACTGCTGGCCTGAAACTCCACTCTGAACAAATTTCAGTGAAAGAGATATTTAGGTAATGTTCTGTTCTTGTGATATGCCTTTTCTCTGCAAAGACTAACAGCATAGAAGCATGCAACCTTTAAAAAATTTACGAGCACTTTAAGTTTCACTGTTTAATTTGATATTTTGGTTGATTGGTTATTCATATCATCTAAGCTTCATAAATCCCCATGATTTTTAATCCTGTAATCCTTTGCTCTCTTTTATTCCTCCTTAATTATTTTTCCTATATTGTAGCATATTTGGCAATGAGAGAGAGAAATGTCAACTGGACAATTACCTTCTTTATTACTTTGGTAAAAACTGGAAATAACTTTGCTGAAACCAGTGAAAATATAAACCTGATATAAATGAGAAAAGATCAAGGTTTAATACTGATGACTCTGCTCTGTAAATCAAATTCCCGTGTTCTCTTTGCAGAGGCCAGTGGCAACTCCAGCTACTGCCCCTGTGCCTTCATGGGTGGAGACTGCCTTGCAAGCAAGCAAGGAAGATTCAGAAATCTTCATAAGCTAGTATTATACCCTGCAAAGGTAGTATTATACCCTACATTAAAACTATTGATTGGTCTTAAAATGCATAAAGCCCCAAACCTGTACAAAAACAACTGCATATAATATCATTCAGTATAAAAAAACCTTATAGACAGCAATATGGCCTCTGAATTGTTGAAAGCTCTTATTTCCAGATGCTTCAATCTAATTTCCATATAACATAAAAAAAAAAAAGAGAGAGAGAGAGAGAGAGAAGCTGGAGTCCCAAAGAGAATTGACTGTGGTTTAAATGGTGCCTAGGGACACATTGTTTTCAGTGAAGGAACCTCAGCCATGCAGCTTTCTTCCCATTTGTCTATCAATCAGAGTTGAAATTAGTTGATTGGTATTCATGCTGCAGCTTTCATCATTATTTCTAGCACTTACCTAAAAATGGACTGAATGAAGTCACTGACTGATAGCAGACTAATAATTTCAACAAACATTGATTTTATTTGTATACTTTATTCCCCTCCTTATGTATGTGCCCAGTCTTCTGAAGAAACACAAACTTCAGTACAGAAACCAAATCATCATTGCAAACAATGTATTTACCGTCTTCAAGGGTTCTCACGAAAACATCATTCTCTTCAGATAAAGCACTTTCTCCAATTGTGGTAGAGGCTGCGACTCTCATTTTATAATTTGTGTACTTTTTTAAACCTGAAAAGATTAAGTAATAAAAAAAGACTGTTGACTTTTAAAACATATTTTTTCCTTATAGCTACTTATAAAACTATAAAAATGGTTACTGTTCTAAGAGGTTTTGACACACATTTGTCACCTAAAAGACAGAATATGTATAATACCATATATGTGGGGAGAGCCAAATAAGCACTCAGTCAAATCAACAGATTTTGAAATAAGTCAACCAGCTTCAACTCTGTAAATAGGCTTAAGAATTTATTTATCAAAACAAAGGATGCATATGCGTACATCCAAATATGTGGTTTTATTCTGTATGTATTACTCTGATTAGCATAAATAGATGCCTGAAACCCCATGGGGAATGCATTTTCTTCAATTGCTATTGAAATTACCACCTTAAAAAAGAAAATTATTATTAATGTCAGACAAATACTGTGAAAAAAATCCTAGTCTGAAAAAGAAAAGAAAATCCTTTTCACAAATTACTACTCATTACCTTTCACAAATTACTAATTGGCACATTTCACAAATTACTGCTCGTCTTACCTAGTCCTCTCCTCCCATCTCACATTCCCTACATACCCCTCCACAGTAGAGAAGTCTGTCAATAGTGTCCCAACCTTGCTTTTACACGTGGTGGTGTTCTCTCTGTGTGGATATGTGTTGATGGGGGAGATTTTGTCCATCTACCTTGCAAATGGCTACATTACATAAAGTTGGAAAAAATAATTTTATATAATGTATTTGCAAATTATTTTTTTTAATCAAATGACACTGTACCTGTCATAAGTAAGCTGTTGTTTGAAGTGGTTGTGTGGAATGTTCTTTCTGTATCCAGTTCCATCGCATAAACAGTATAATGAATGATTTTCCCATTGGGATTTGCTGGAGGATCCCAATACAGCAAAACAGAGGAGGAGCTAATATTCTTGTAAGATATATTTTGTACTGAGCTTGGAACTTAAACAAAACCAGAAAAATATAACAGTAAAGCCAATAAATTATTAAAAAAAATTTAAAAGTTCAGCGAAAGAAGTCATGCATGTTAACTTTGGTAGTATCAGAATTACAACACTTTACCTTGTTCACATGTCCTGACTGTCAGAACTGATGGTGGTCCTTCTCCAACAGCAGTGAAAGCAGACACACTGATTGTGTAGTCTGTGAAAGGTATGAGGCCCTTTATAACATATGACAGTTCTTCAGCCAAAATGTTAATGGTATACTGATTATCTGTGATTAAATGGAGAGAAATAGTTACTTACTTGTAAACTCTTTTATTTTCTTTTGCATTCGAAACTCACTTTGACATGGTGACTTGGAACTATTTTATTACAAAAGACTCAACTTCCATGGCAATTACAAAAATCTAAAGAAAAGTTTACACTCTGCCTCTTAACTGAATCAAGAAGAGGCTATTATAGGTCCATTTTCATGTGTACAACAGATAGTTTGGCCTAGGTGAAAGAATGAATAGGCAAGAACTAAACCCGTGAGGTTTATACTGACAGGTATCTCAAAAAAAAAAAAAAAATTGAGAGAAATCTCCAAGGAACTAGGAAGAGATATATTTGCATATGGCCTAGTTTCTCCAGTGACTTCAGAACCATGGCTCCTAGGTTGATGGAGCTTTTAATTTTTTTTTTTTAATTTTTTTTTAATTGAGAGAAACAGATTCCCTCTTCCTTGCCCTCCCAACGGTGCTATAATAACTATACTTGAAATGGCTCCTCTCACGGATCCCTTCACACTAGTATTTTTAGCAGAAGAGTTGTGGTCAGCAGAATGAAGAAGTCATACATGCCCACAAAGAGTTTTTAGTGCATCTGAAATAAAGTTCAAAGTCAGCCACAATCCAACTGTGCTAGTCAAAATCATCTGTTACAAAGCAGGCATTATGCCACTGCAACATGAAAAAGTGTGGGTGCTTCACTTATCTGAGTGTCAGGCTCAGAGTTTTTCAGGACCGGCATTAAAATGGAGGCATCTAAAAATCAGCAGACCCTGCTGAAAATTTGGCTGTCAACAGCTTTAACTACTATAATAACTACTATAAAATAATACTTGTACGCTAGACTACATCAGATGCTATCTGAAATAAATTTTTCAGCAAGAAAGACATCTTTTAGCAACTCAATACCTCAAGCAGTACAAGGCCATAAAAAGAAGATTCACATTTAAAGCACTGTACATTTCTCTGTATGACAAAGAAGATTCTTCAGGATTAAATAGTACAGAAAAGATCCACTGTAATTTAAACTAATGGATTAAATTCTGGTTTTAGATACTGGTTTATATGGAGGAATTCAGTGACTTCTTTAATAAAAAAATAAAAACTTGACTTTCTCCCTACTGTTGGAGAATTCACTGTTTAAAATTCACTGTAAAAATTTGGAGTGGTATTTTAAGTCCCTGCCTGTCAGCTGAGGCCTGCTTAATGATTTGTAAATATCCATACTTGGTAAAGAAACACTGGTCCATTGATAATACAGAACAAGTGTACACACTAATGACATCACCATGTCATGGGGGTCATCTCCACCTGTTTGTCACCCATATAGCAAAGTTGTAACTTTTTGACCTATTTACCTTCACTGACATTTGGAAACCTATTAGTCAAAAGGCTTAGAGAAATCAAGGTCTCTGAAGGGCTTGGAGATATGTTAATCCCTGACAATCACACCTGCTTTGGCAACTGTAATAACTGATTGTCTATGCAGCTTGGCTGATGGCTTTCGGGTGCTCCTTTCACTAGGAACAAGGTCAGCTGGGTGACAAGGGGCTAGTTCCCGCCTGTGTGGCATTCCCATTTGCTTCAGAAGGTTATTTGGTAGTAAAAAAATCCGACTCCAGCAAATGACCCATTCATAATTTGCTTGAACCATGTGCTAAAGATCATATCTGGGACAGTGATGGGGGTCCTTTGGAGCAAAGGAGCAGATAGAAAGATATCCTAAAATATCTTACCCAATGCAGAATGTAATTCTGCAGCTCCATCTATAGCAGGCAAATTATCACCAGATACACTTGTAAATATTACTGGGGAAGCTGTCTGAATGCTGGGAAACATTTCAGCTGAACCTTCATATAATTCATTGGCTATTTCCATTGAATTCCAAGTGGGAGATGGCTTGATGTTTTCATTTGTCATGTATGGTTCCAAAGAATCAATCAAATACTAGAATTATAAATATAAAAATAAATCACAAACCTCATAATCACTGAATTATTTAATTAAATTTATATATAATATAGAAATAGTGTTTATATATTTGTGCATATATACACACACTATATATAAATGTTGGTATACAAACATTATCTTTCATTATAAAAATAATTAACTTTGCAAAATACAATATTTCTCATGAAAAAGCTCAGCTGCCAGTAGCCTACAACCTTTTATTAATTTTTATTGTTTAAACAAACACGACATTCTTTTTATTTCTTAAAATATGGGTTTTATAGTAAAGTGGTAATTTTAGAGCAAGGCCTTTAATGCTATATCCTTGGAGTTATATTGAATAGACACGTCTGAGTTTGGGAGATTCCATCTGTACCAAGCATGTTCTGAAACAGGGTTGCAGGCACTGAAAACAAGAGTGCTTCAGATGCCCCTACTAGGCCCTGAAGAAATGGAATAAAAGGTTGACTAGACCTCTGAGAGGCAATAAGGGGAGAAGGAGAAAACCAGAAGCTAATGAAATAAAGGGGAGAGGGAAAATAAGCAAGTATATATGTGAAAAGGGAGAGTGAAAGGGAGGTAAGTGATACAGAGGTCCATAGGACAGAAGGGACAAAAGACAAATGTTGGAAAGGGATGGCAGTAGATATAAGGGGAGCAAGAACTACAAAGAGAGGAACAACAAAAGCAGAAGAGAAAAGAGAGACAGCCTAGAGCATAGGTACAAACTGGTGTGTAAGCACTAGATCATTATGCCCCTTCAGAATCTGGGACCAAATCCAGGACTCCAGTGTCTCTAAATTGTTCTGCTGTCATCTGTGAACACTCCCCACTCACACATATGGCCCACTTCACTGCCAGAAAGAGATGCTTTTACAGTGATGTAACTAATACACATTAGCTCTCTCCCTACAGCCTCTGGATGGAGAGAGGGCAAAGCAGCTTTTTTACTGCTGCAACTAGGGGGGATTAACCACAGGCAGAGATACAGAATCAATCATCTCACCTATGTACCAACAGGTAAAAGCTATATATGCCTCATCTTCACCAACATTATAAAGGAAAATAGTAACCGGTGTGGAAATACTCTTTGCCTCTGGGGATCTTCCACTTATAATAGTTTTTTCTTGCTACTAGTTATTGAGTACTGCTAGCACTCTGGATCCAACAGTTCAAATCCTGTAGATGCTTTAACCTTGGGTCAATGGGGTTCTAAATAAAGTAATGCTTGTTATGGTTTGGTTTGGTTTTTAATTAGAAAATTACATCCAATAAACTATAATAAAGCAGCAATGATGCTAAACTAGGAACTCAAAAATTAGGAAATCCTATCATTAAAACATGTCTGTGCAGACAATTTTCATTTTTTCTGTCTGCACTATGATACAATCTTTAATTATAGAGTTATATACTTTCATTTTCCAAGGACGCCTGCTTGTTTTAATGAATGGATCATTATCCTCATTTTTTTCCCCCCTTACTTCTTATTTAATGTTTGGCTCCAGGGCTCTATGTAATGTATGTCATTCAACTTGAAAGCAAACTCCTTCATTGCGGTCTACATCAAAAACAGATTCTGTGTCAGATCCAGCGAAAGACATTGCTGTCTAAAAAAGGAATTATTTAGACTTTGGGCTCCTATGTTCAAAATTAAGACCAAAAAGCCCTACCTCAGAAAGCCCTCAATCCTGAGCTGAACGTTTGCTAGGGGTCTATAGTTCTGTGCTGCATGCTCAGAGCTGCCCCATCTATGCATGTAGAGCATATCAGCACCCAAAATCCAGAAGCTAGACTGACTGACAGCATAAATCTCTGAAAAGATTTGATCTGGTAGACGTGCACAATTATCCTTAATATACAACCATAGCATGCAGTTAAGCATGTAGTATCAGACATGTAAATTCAAGGATACAAATGGGGCAGAAACTCTAGAGGTGTTTGTCTTGCAAGCAGAGCACTTGACCAGCCTTGGGAGACTTATCTTGAATTCACTTCTCAGAATTCATACCCGCATCTTCTAGGAGTTTGCCTGAGTGGCTATGTAGCGATCTAGACACCTAAATCTGTACTCTTACTGTTAGGTTACCCTATGCCGCAAATAACTTAAAGGCTAGAAAGGATAAGACTGTGGGCTATGGCTTCCTGCCTTCAGTAGCTAAGAAAGTCTGGATCATTCCACCAGGATTATTTATTGTTTTCATGTTGTGGAAACAGCATTATTGGAATGTCTTTAAAACCCAGCCAGAGAAAGAGGGTGGGGTGAGGAAGGTGGCTTTTAAAAGCATTGACAACTCATCTGTGGTGGCTAATTCCACATTCTGTAGCTATCAGATAAGGTAGAGAAGCAAATTCAATCTAGCAAAGAAATCCATATTAAAAAAAAATTAATACCTTATTTTTTCCTTTGAGAATACTGTTTTCCAGAGTCACCTCTGTTTCCTGCATGTGTACTTTAACTCTATACTGGGTAATGATTCCATTTGGTTGTTGTGGCTTCCTCCAAACAATTTTTATATATGTGGCTTCCACTTCTGCTAGATGTAAATCTGATACAGTACCTGGGACTAAATTTTCAAGAAGAAACTTGATTTAATTAAACTTCTTCGATTATTACAAGCTTTCTCAGCACTGCGTGCAAAGTACAATAGGCATTTAACCAAATTTCATAGCCTTTGCGTTGCTTCTGTGCAGGTAGAGAGTTACTTCACATGGGGGTTTTTTTAGCAAACAAGTTACAGTTCTAAAAATATGCACACAGGTTTTTGACATATATGGCATATGTACAAATATGGTCAAATCCTAAGAAAATGTGATTCAGGATAGCTCTGCCAAAGTCAGTGCACTGGAAGCAAGAAGACCTTTGCTAGTTTACTGTAAGGAAGTCTATTGAAAATGAAAGCTTAATTCTAAATTTATCAAAAACATACAAAAGTGAAATAAAAAAACTTTAAAAAATTTAACATGATACATCTTGTTCATTTCATACTGTACTGTATGATACTGTACTTTACATAGGACTGCCAGAGACCAGAAACATTTATATTCAATAGAATGATATTCAGATTTGATATGAAAAATATTTTTGTCCTAATATACCACAGAAAAAGACATACTTGGTATTACTTGCATAATGAAGGTTTGCTGATTTGGCATTAAAATGAGACATTCTATGTCATTCTAAAAAAAACCCACCACCACCAAAATCCCCTTTGGCTTCTGATGGTGAGTTTAGACAGAAGATCAGCATGGCTGTACTGAGGGAGGCCATCTCTGGAAATTGTCTCTGAGAGCTGACAAAAGCAGATACTTAGGATACTTCAGGAAAGAATATGATAAATAAGGATAGGTGTTCCTCATGCTGTTACACCTTGACAGCAAGCATTGCAGCAATCACTGATTGAGAGGTTTTCTAAATTTGTGCTGTGTGGCATAAACACAACACAAAAATAACCATTTTGAAACTGCTTGCCTATTACATACTGATTCTCGAATTTTTCTGGTTGCGTTCTCAGCCGCAGATCCATAATCCTGCACAATCTCACACACATGTAAGATAAAACTGCATTTCTAATGAGCAAAAGGCTCTCACCTGGTGAGCGGACTATTGGGAGCCAAAGTTCTCAAACGACAGAGGAGATGGCTCTGGGACAGAACCAACCACTTGATTGCCCCAGGACAAGATCTCAACGTTGGCGCTGCCTCAGACCTATGGTCCCCAGTAAAGTGGCTCCATTAGAAAATGGTGTGGGGCCTTGGATTTGGTGAAAATTAGTCAAACAAGATGTTTAATAAGAAACATTGGGGCTCAACAAACCAGTCGTGGGAGAAATCCTGTGCTGTTCTTTCTCTTCCATTTGCTGCCATCTAACGGACAAGGGGGGGCCCTGCAACTTAATTACCGTACCTAAAAATAACTGCTTTCATTCAGTCAGAAACGATGTTTCTTTCACAGTCCCTGAAGGCATCTGATAGCAAGTAAATTTAGCGACAGTGTATGAACTAAAAAAAAAAAAAAAAGGTGAAATAAATCTACATAATAAATGTTCAGCTAATTTATTTCATTAGCTTATTATCCCTCTCCTGTAAGTCTCTTACAACACACCCATTCTTTCCTTTGCAATTACCGCAAAGGCTTTGAAGGGAAAACTGAAACCAGTTATTGTGTACAGCCTATTTACTTCACTTTTTTATGCTTACTTACCATCTGCAGGCGTGAAAACTGTAAGGTTAGTCTTTGGCCCCAGCCCAGCACTTGTCTCAGCACCGACATACACATCATATATTGTAAACGGCACAAGATTACTAAATACGAACTTATGATCTTTTGTGCTGTTATCCAGAATATGACCTGGAATGAAAAATGAAGAGATTCTAGCTCAAAAATAAAAATATTCCATTATTTGCTTATACTAAATATAGCTACTTTCCAGGATGATGAACAAAGAAAAGCAAAATTTATTTGTGAAAAAGCTAGTTTGGCGTCAACCTCACGGGAAATAATACTGAATGCTTGAAAAAATCCCCCAAAACCATCTCAAGAAGACATGGATTTTAAGAAGTGTGTGTGGAGGGGTTGTTTATAAATTAATTTCTATTGCTTCTCCTGTGTGGTCATATAAAAAACATTAGTATACAGCTCATTTACTTCTCTACTTAACTACATGCAGTTACATAACTTCTTTAAACATACGTGTCCGAGCTAAAAAAAGCCACAAAAATTCCACAACAGACTCATACAGTTGACTGTCTACTTTATGGGAATGAAAATCCTTCAGAAATCTTTAACAGAAAGAGAAAAGAGTAAAAGTAAGGTACAGGATGATTTGGATATATAAGCACCCTAATTCAGCTGTGAGCTTAGCCTGTTATCTCTAAAAGAGTGAGGAAAGCTGGTTTTCTCCATTAAGAATATCTAATGTGAATTTCATTGTGTACTCTTCCTCATGATGGACAGACTTATCCCTTAAAAGTGATCTAAAAACTATTAAAAAGCCTAATAGTGAAAAGGATACGTAGCACTGCTTTCAAATATTCATCTTGACTGGCAGGGACACTAAGAATGCAAGTGTAAGGCAATAATCACAAAAAAAGAAAAAGAAATAAAACCATCAATTCAGACTTACCAGATGGTCCATACAGCTCAACTCTGTAACTAAACCTTCCTGTTACTATGGTTGGTGGGTCCCACATCACTGAGAAAGACTTTGCTGTGATGTTGCTTTTGGCAAAATTTTGTGGTGGATCTTCTGGAACTTAAACAATATTGGAAAAAGTCTTTGAACATAAAATAATTTATATTAGGATTTCCAAGAACTACATATCAGACAATTCATTTTAAACATAAACATTACATATCCTGAAGGGAAGCTACATTAAAAGCACATCATCTCATTAAAATGACTTATTTTTATTTCATTTCTTTTTTAAGGTAAATCTCACAAAGGTATCAAGAGAGCTGGTAGGACGCAAATAATCCTTAAAAGACAGAGGTGGCAGGGATTCTACCAAGTTTAGCACGGACTTCATCATGATATAGATTACATACAGAAGATGCTCAAATATGATTGTGAGACTCAGCAAGACAGAGCTCACATTGGGTACATTTTCTTCCTTCAACAGGTTCTTTTTTCATATAGACAATACTTCATATTTAAGATTCCGACAGCACTAATGATATACTTTACTATCCTAAAACATAAGCCTGGAATCAATTAAGCTTGCAAAAACATTGCATACTTGAGCAATTTTCTATTTTCAATAAATTATTCACATAAATTAAATGAATCCAATACTCAAGTGATTATGGAATCTGATCCCTGTCCTTTCTAAAGCATACCTCACTGCATCGATAAGTCAATGACAGATTATTATTGAGATGAAAATCTGAATCCAAAGACACCTAAAGGAGGTGGAACTTTTTACATTCATATAGAGTAAAAACAAACCTGATTTTCAAAAATGCTGCATATGCAAGCAAATTTATGGGAACTGCTTGATATAAATTTCTATGAAAATCAGGTCTTGGTATGTCATGTGTGAGATTTCAGCCAATATGGAGATAGAGACTGATCCTGTAAACAAATATGCAAGTTAACTAACATAAAACTCTATCATCTTTTGTAAAACCTAATGTACAAATGAAAGAAATGAAAAATCCTACCATTCCTAAAAGATATGCTATACATTAATGACTACTTAATCATTCTTAGTTATGCAAATTGCATCAGCTACAATTGCACATAATTCTGAAGTATCATCTTAAGAGTCCACTTTTTTTTTCAAGGTTTGAATCTTTTTCTCTTTGTAGAACTATCCTCCCCTTGACAGCCATCCCAGCAAAGGAAATATTTGCATGCTGAGCCTTCAATAAATACATATAATGAGGCATTTTAAAATACTTTAAAGAAGTAGCCCTTTTTTCAAAAATCAAAGTAAGGAAAATATCATCTTTGTCAAGACCCCAGGAGAGGTTCAGCATGGCTCAGAAAATTCTGGTTGGAATAGGATAGAAATAATTTGCAGCATTTTAAAATGGAACATCAGTGAGCTATACAGTAGGGACATATATCACCTTCATCTGTGTGGTGAAATGGACATGACAACAACTCTGTGTCATGCTCCTGTGTGAGCAGGAAAGTGATGTCTGAAATAAATGCGCTCTCCATCTTCCCACCTGCTACCACAAACTATAATCCATCAATTCCTCTCCCTCAAGCCTCACCTCAGACACTCCAGTGGAGGATTGGAATGTGAGGTTTTGGCCATAATGGGAAACTGGTAACTTGGTGGGGGTGGTTAGTGTGACACTAAAGAGATTCTTGTAAGAACCAAGACATTTGGAGAAGGGAAGTGGATTTTAGTAATTACAGAGAGACTGGATGATGGTGCTTGATATTGGAGGGGGAACCTGTTACAGTAATTGCAAAGCAACACTCCTAAATCATTATTTTATTATACAGGCTATACAGATACATACAAACTTTAGCACGTAAAAACATCTTTCCCACTGAAGCAAATGAAAGGTAAGAAAATAGAAATAATGAGGCAAAACATCTATTAACTCATAATGCCTTCCTAACAAATCACCAGTCAACAGCCAGTCTCCAGACAGGTCCCTTGGCGTGCAGGCATGCAGGACTCACAGAGGAGCATTTTAACAAGCACCAGAATGCTCATAAGGTGAAGATCTACTAGAGATGGATCCAGAAGATTGGGTGTACCAGTGTGCTGCTAAGAGGAAGGACTTCCTGAGGCTTGGGCCATGAGGCCTGACTGCCTGTGGCTCCATGCACACCACATACCTACCCACGCTGACCAGTAAGCCAACTTCTCTTTTCCCAGACCGTGCTTTAATGGATGAACCTTGGATGTACAGGCACCCAGTATGCAAGGACTTAAGATCTTATCTTTCAAACAGCTGACATATTTCTACGTATTTGGCAGAACTAAACCCCACTGCATAAGCTTTTCATCACTTTCCAGAGTTTTCTTATTAGCAGAGCACCTATCCTAGGATGTTAACAGGGGGAAAAAAAACCCTGGAAATTAACCCTGAGATCACTAGAACAGAAACTGTCCAAAACTTCATTAACCCTAAACAGAACAGCAAAATAAGCATATTTTAATTTTAGCAAAGCAATTCAAACGAACAGTGCTAGGAAGGAATCAAATTTATTTTCATCTGAACAGTGCTATGAAATCTGGATGTATGAAAGGGGAACCCAGTCACATCAAACTGTGTCAGGCAAAAGAACGATGTACTTGCAAACAGAAAGCCAGAATAACATTCCTCTAGAACACCTTTTTGGTATGGCTCTATTAATAATGTTGCCCACTACTATAAGCCATTATAAAACTCCTGCTCCTGGACAACCTTTGTTTCCAATTCTAACTTCTCAGTGCCTTGCAGGTAATCCCAAAATCAGCTTTCCTAGTGTTTAAAGATTCCTTCAGCACTGAACAACTTTCTGCAGTAGGTCCAGATTGAAGAACCCTGGGACAGAACTCTTCGTTGTACTGCTTATTTTTCCACAAAGGCAAAGAAGCTTTAAGTGCATTGCTATGTACACAACATGCATACTTTTAAAATACTGTGCCTGACACCTTTTCCCTTCATCTGTATTTTTAATTCTCCTTCCATTGTGCCATTAATTGCATTCTTAAATTATCCTCAGGTTTTCATAAAATTTGATCTGTCCTGATCATGCTTTGGTATCTTCGACTTTTAATAATAACTGAACTCCCACTCACTGTACATTGTAAATATACTAATAGTTACATACACTTCAGTTGATTCCATCAGGTAAAATGAAGCAATTATGTAAATAAAAGAGCATGATACAGATAAACACAGATTCAGACTGAAGAATCTTGCAACATAACTTCAAACTTTTCATATAAATCTGACAACTTTATTTCCATGTGAAAGCAGTATATACCTGATTCTGGTGTCCGGACAATTGCACTATCAATATAACCTGCTTCCGTGGTAACTGCAGAGACTTCAAAAAGATAGGTGGTATACGGCCTGAGGTTAGTTACAACAAAACTAATTGGTTCATTCCAAACCGAGCTCATTTGACTTGGTGCTTCTGTACTTGGTGTAACTGTAGTCCGTGAAGGAATTGTGGATTTGCCAAAAGTAGTTGAAGGAGTGGTAGTACTCCACAAAAAGGATTCACTGTTATCCTATAAAGACAAAATATGAAACATGATAAGCTACATCTATAATCTATAATTGTAAACATATGTAGATCAAAAAAGGCAGACCACCTTTGAAATAAAATTACCCCAAATTGGTTCTCCTTTTAATACTTCAATTCTCCAAATTTAGGTTATCGTTTCAATAGCTGACATTGCTAGTACATCCTATTTGTGACAGTATTTCCTGCCTTATCCCAAAAGTTCTCAAATCTGACCAAGCAGAAGCAACTCTCTAGGATTCATTTAATTATTCCCAGATTCCATTTTCACCATTCAGTCTCTCCCTTAAAAAAACAGTCCTCTAGTGAGGTCCTTCTACATCACATGTATCTTATATGTATGTATGTATATATAAATATATAGCATACATATATCCCTATATAATGAATAAGACCAGATAGGGGTTTCATAATCCATACTGTCAGGAGACACCTCTGAAAAACTGCTAGACATTATGATAACCGATGCTTATGATTCAGTCAGTGGCAGTCTCTCTTCTCAGTGCTGAATTAAATCAGCCCGATGTTGGGAAAGTTCATAATGTCTAAGATGATCTTCCAAATAAAATCTGAAACCAAAGTCCTGAAAATTTTTACAATTTAAAACTGCCCTTTTCATTAAAATACTAAGTCTAGCATTTTGGGGGAAAAAAAATGGAAAAAAAAAAAGTTAGGCAATATGACATCTAGGTAATCACAATTCTGCTCAGAATAAAGAGGAAAAGGAGAATACACACTGGAAAAGATAATTTTCTTCAAGAAATTCTGAAAGGTATGCGTTGGTTACAGGTCTGAATCCAATGAATATTCAAAAATCAGAAACCTTTCAAATAATGCTTATTTTAAGAACAACTCAAACTACAAACATTTTTTTAAAAAATCACTCTGCTAATAGTGGGTCTTATTTTGATATGAAAAGTATGTAAATAATGTTGAAATTTGATACACAGAATAAAGCATGCATTTAAAATATAAAAAGTGTTATCATATTATCTATAATAATAATATTAACATTACACTATGTCTGCACTGTCCAGAAAAAAAAAACAACCAACACAACTGTAAATTCTGGTGTAAAAAACAAAAATAAAAAAAGAAAGAAATTCAAAATTATCTATTTCATCATTTTCCATTAAAAGGACACCAAATTGACCCTTTCTTAACACTTTTACTTTACAGATTAAACTGAGCTTTTCAAGGAAAAGTATTCCATTTAAAATATTCCAGAAAGGTTTTTCTTCAACCATTATATCCTGCCTTGGGCCTAAGTTTGTAAAGTATTTGGGATTCTTCTGAAAAGCAAGTCTCTCAAGTTTTTATGTCTCAAAATTCAAATGTAAAACTATATTCTGCATCTTGAGTCTATTTCTAATTTAAAAGGTTTATAGCACTTACATTACATTCTGGTAACCTCCCAGACAGAAGGTCCTCTACTTTAACCAAGACATCTTTCACTACAATTCCACTTCTTGCATGTTTCACACTAATCTTGAAACTAGTTATCTTTCCATTTGGTTGCCGAGGGAGAAACCAGATCAGATTTACAGCTGAATAATTTAAGGCTTCAACTGTGAGATTCACTACTTTACCTGGAGCTTGAAAACAAAACAAACAAAAGCAATGAGACATACTTTTCTTCTCAGCACTGGAAAAAAATATCCCATTTTGTTTTGTAATGCCATTTCTAGCTTCCAAAATCTGAAGCAAATAAATAACAACCATTCACAAACACATGTAAAGTAGCTGATATGCAACCAGCTCTTCTCCAATCTAGTTTAAGTGAGAAATATAATTATTTCAGTCTCATAATAATATAGTAATTGATGTGGTCAACTTAAAAATATTCTTCTTAGAAGCAACTCATCTACCATGTCAGAAGTAGCAAATTTTTGCTCACTTCTGTTTGTTTAAGAGCATATGACAGCATCAGGTGTTTTATTTCACTTTGTCTGTGTCATCTTTTGAGCTGGATATAGATTTTTGGTAGCTTTAAATAGCTCAATTTAATTTGAATATTCATATTACTACAGAAATGTTGTTTTTTGTATCAGTGACAGTTTCCAGATTCTTTTGTCAGAGCATCTGTATGAATCACAACACAAAGCAATGGGATGCAGCCTCTAAATGAGATTTTACAAGCTATATGAACCTTCCTGAGAATTAGAGCATTGTAGCTCTCTCCTAGTCCTGTCTGTATGGCACAGGCAGTAGAAGTTCCTGCCTTAGTACTGAGGAGAAAAGGGTTATGCTGACTTAAAAATATACACATATACAAGTGTCCACAATTACAGATCTTCCACAGCTGAATTGAGACCGATCCTCCAAGCCTCATATTTGAGTCTTGCTTAGGCCTTGCTGAATCTCTTACAGACCTTCCACCCCCTTCCCCCTCCTCCCAGACTACAGCTTTTATATTTCAATAATTCTATCTTCTAACTTTCCTACTTTAAACTGTACTTCTTCATGTTGATCAAGATGTTGGGGTTTCTTTAACCATCAAAGCAAGAGTTAAAAAAAGAAAAAGTTGAGAAGGTAAAAGTATAAATGTAGTACCAGTGACACAGAACTCTCACCTAGAATTTGAAGAAACCTTCAGATTACATTTATAATAAGGAATACTAGCTTTAACAAAATGTAAGCAGAAATGCATCAAAAACTAAAAAGCTCATGTTCTCATATGGAGAAACATTGATGTTTCTGTCAAACATAAGTAAATAAAGGTCACAGAAATAAGGTTTTCTACCAACAATAACACACAAAGAATGTTAAAAACAATGATTTTGCATAGCTCCACACAGCAAGTTTACGACCCATTCTTATATGTTGTTTCATTACTCATTGTGTTATCCCAGAAACCTGATGCAGAGTGAGGATTTCCTGCCATTAACTGAGATGTGGCACTTTGCAGTTTGCACAGCTACGGAAACCAACCAGGAGTCCTAAGCACAAAGGGATGATCACTGCCATGATGGGGGCAGCACAAATTCTATATTCCACTAAGACTTGTTCACCCCAACGTAACTGTCCAGGTGCCAGGCTCTTCAGCCGAGGCCCAACTGCTCCTGGAGTGTAAGCAAGACTACAAACACTAAATTAATAAAGATTATGCAAATTCAGACTATAATTATAATTGTTTAATCTTCAAAACCATCAAGTAGAATTTTCATTTCAGCCTCTTTTTTTTTTTTCCTCAAGAATTAAGAAGTAAACGCTTAGTAAAATACATTCTGTGCTGGGCTTTGTAGAGAAGGCACTTGATTCCAGCACTAAGCAAACATGGCTTGACATAAGTAGGCAATGCCAGAGCTGATCCCACAACAAAGTTTGTCTCCTAGTACTGCTGCAGGCAACAGCAGATGGGTCCACTTGAGAGGTAGCTCTGCTCTCCTGTGACCTTGCTTTCTGGAAGCAGCCTACTAGGAACTAGCATAGGAAAACCCCAACAGAAACAGATTCGCATATTAGAAATCCCTATGTGCACACACCCTAAATGCTGTTACTAGCAAATAGGACAAAATGCACCTTTTTCACTGAGAGAAAAAGAAAAGAATTAAGATATTGTTCTAAATGCATCAGAATTTGTTCAAGCATGAAATGTGCCATGGATACATTATTTGAACAAAATAGAGCATCTTTAATTAAAATAATTAGCAGCTTTATTAAAATTACCACTTTCTGCAGTCTGAAAAAGAAAAGGATCGCTAAATATTCCAACACCAGCACTGTTCTCAGCAGCAACCTACAGGAAAAAAAAGCCACATTAGAGAATCTATAGGATATATAGTTTCAGGGACTATGAAAATCTTAAGGATACACAGAGATGCACCTTATAGCTATTAAACTATAAATATACAGATGAACATGCTTTTTATAGCTGTATTGTTTATTTTATACTCAACATGTAAATGTGAAAAAATAAAATGGAAAGATTATGAAACAGTGTAAGAAATTGAGAAAACCATGTGTGAATATCCACACTTCAAAAGTGCTGAGTTCCTATTTTATGCTAAAGTCAACAGCAAGAATAACATCAGTAACACCCCTTTTCCTTACACGATTCAGTTAAACCAGCTTCCTCATTCCTATTTCACTTGTACTATAACTTAAAAGAGTAAAAAGTAAAACAGGTTCTCTTTTATTTCTTGAACTCCTGAAGGACAGCAAGTGGAGGTCAACCTCCCTCAGAGCAGAAACCCAAAGAAAGCATGTCTTTTGACAGAGAGACAACAGGTCAGGGAACTGTGGATGCACTTTATGGTGGATGTGCCTCGATGCTCGCAGAGTCTTCCCGCGGAAGGGCAGTACATTGAGACTTTGGTAGAATCTATGGAGATCAACAAGGACACTATTTGCTCTGCAATATAGACTTACTGACAGTTTGACTCAGTGATGGGCCATGGCATGCAATGCTTACAAAGAAAGAGGAATTAAGTCTGACTCCTTATTTTGAAAAGAAGTGACAGAGACAACAAAAAGTAAAATGAGCAAAATTCCAGCAGTGATGATGAGCAGTGTGTGAAAGAAGCAACGCGAAAAGCTCTCCAGCCAGGTTAAAGCTGGTAGAGCCATCCCCTCCTGCCAGTGTCAGGGAACAAAGGTATGGCAGTGGTGCTGAGGGAGCAGAGAGTGCAGACTGTGGGGAAAGTGGGGTGAGAAGGGGCAGATGTGCAAAACTATGTGTGGGTCATAGTGGAAGTGACAGCACGCAGCGGATAACGAAGGGCAAAGAGAATGGAAGGAGCCAGCAGGTCAGAAAGGAAAACCATTCTAATCACATCTCTGGACTAAACTGTACATCTTTCAGAAGACTGTGAAGCTATTTAAACAAAAGCACTAAGCCACGGCAGACAAACTACAGCAAAGAAATATGAGGTAACACAGAAGACTTAATCTAGGATGTAAAGGGATGCATATGCCTATGACCACTTCCTAATGCAGTGCATGCTCTGCTTGGTGAAGAATCTGTATCACTGGCCAGCTCCTTCGTAAGCCATGTAAACACCCTCTCCCCATGCATGCACATCTCATGACTCCAGCCAGCCCTACCTACTTCTGTGTCACAGAGAGAACGACTTGAAACGGCCTTAAGCATTGAGGACTTCTACAGTAATTGCAATAGCTGAGGAAATCACATGGAGATCTTCAGGGGGTTGACAAGCAATCAGAAAATTCTGACAGTATTAAAATTACATAATACAAATCTAAAGGTATGTCCTCACCTGAACACTGCTTTTTTGTTATCTCATCTTAAAGTACATATTGTAGAAAGGGTCCAGAAAGGAACATTAGCATTAAGACAGACATGGAAACTCCCATTGGATATGTGTAGTTTCAGAGTTACTATGACATAAGTATGCAAAAATAGTAAAAGGTGTCAGCTACACAGCCCAATAATCTTCAAAGAGAAATCAAAATAAATGCTTACACGATGTACAGTTAGCTTCTAGAGATCACTGCCAAAAAGAGCCATTACAGAAAAAAAGCTTGGAAATATTTAAAAAGGACAAGTTTACTATGCAGATAACACAGTACTATCCAAAGTTCAAGTAGCTGCAGCTCACATTTGGATGTATTAATTTTTATGCTTTGAAGTATGTTGCCACTAATTATTTAAGTCTAGAAAAAAAATCTTGAGTGCATATTTTTACAAAATTATCAGTGATCAGATGTTCAAAATTATCCAATGTTCTCCAACATTTAATGAATTATCACTTGTAATGGCTATTTCTTTACAAATGTTTTTTTCATTAAATGTAAAGAAATTAAGACCAGGCTGTTATAAAGAGATTGGAAACCCATATTCAAAGCTTATAAGCTCTGTTGAGCTGTACTGTCACAGTATTTACCAGAAAGAATTTCACAGAAGGACCAAGCCAAGTACCCTAAAACAATAAAGAACTTTTACCTATGCAAAAATCAAGAGCTACTTATAAGTGACACAACAGACTCCAAAAATTAACCAAAGAACCACAAGAAATTGCTCAAGAGAAGGAAAACATTTAATGTTTCTTTTTGGTCATGTCTGTGAGACAGAAAAAGTGTTTCCACCTGAGTTGTTATTGAATCTGTGAGGTTGCTCATGGGTCAGGCGGTCAAGGCGCCCACCAAAGCAGTAGGTAACGTAACAACCCTTAGCTTGGCAACAGACTTTTATTCGCTCATGAGAAAAGCCATATGGTCCCTGCTAGGCAGAGGTTGTTGGGTCACAAAGTCACTTTCCTGAGTCAAATTCTGCTCTAAGATCAATGTTTCAGGCACCAGCAATGGGAAGGATTGCCTCCCATATATATCAACAAAGGGCAAATTATTGCTAAGTAAAACAAATAATTTTAAATGTCCCACAATTTGCCCAGGGAAGATTCATATATGGAGCAAAGAATAGAATTTGCAAAACTTTTAATGGTGAACCCCACACAAGTGCTACTGAGGTACCCAGAATTGCAAATTGAATTCTCTTAATAACTTCATTTGTCTGAGGAGATTAATCTGCTTAGAGACCAAGTGATAATACTTTTCTCAAATAGTAACTTTTTTTGTGTTGTTTTTTTTTTTTTTTTTAACAGATGACTGGAGGCAGGAGATCAAAGGATAAACATTTCTCCAGCTGTGGATATACTGGCTTTTATCAGCATGGTCATCGCAACTAGATTCACAGTGAGCAACTTTCCCACAATGGCAGACATAAATACATTTTTACTTTTTTACACACACACACACACACACACAAACCTTTACAAAGAATCACTGCACAGCCCTATTCCTAGTCTGGTCAACTTCAATATTTTTTTATAGCTTTGCACTGTATGAAGTTACATGATATGGAATGAAAGAAATCAAACACATCATTTCATTCTTGATATTGAAAAGAAGCACCTCTCCAAGGTTCTTACGGAAGAGTAAGTCAGGTGAAGAACTGCTTGGCAAATATTACCAAGAGGACTGCAGTTCATTTCTGTCCACCTGAAGTCATCTATTGTTGAAGCATTCGGAGATGGATCAGGCGTGCCTAATCTCAATGTAAACAAATTCCACATATACAAGTCACGAAAATACATCTACTGATTTTGGTGGTAGATTCACTGTGAATATCTAGGCAGTAAAATCTATGGAAAAAGAATGGAAAAGTATGACATTTTTTATTTCAGGAGATAAAACTAGGTAAAACTCCCAGGCTTAGGGAAACCAGGCTAAGGTGCTTACAGGGTATATCTAAACAGATATTTAGGCAAGAAAACTCCTTAAACCAATTAAGTTTACAATAAAAAAAAAGAAGTATGTACTCACATGCTTTTCTGGATCTGTTTAGAAATGATTTAGAAATCTATATGTAATATCAAAAGTGTACCAGTGATTCAAAAGATTAAATCTCAATGAAGATGAAGAAGGATTTAGATGTTTTTGAAAATTCTACCCTTTGCTTTTTACTTTTTACCACATAATGCCATATGTCAATAAGAATATCAATAGAAGAAACTACATTTTAGTATGATTTTGGTTGTAAATTATTTAAAGTGGATTTAAAAACCACTACTGTAAACAAATACCTGGCTGATGTATTTTGTTATATGGCAACAGTAATTGGCAGTCCTTCAGAAAACACTATATGGACCTACCATAAACTCACACAATTTACAAGAAATTGGAATTCAAAACACTAAAAGGCATTCATAAAGCTTTTACCGTAATTTCATAAGTTGTTCCAGGGTTGAGACTGGTAAGAAGAACTTCCAAACTATCTGGCTTTGTTGTGACCTGTGTATAAGCTGTTTGCATCCACGGGCAGACCTCTTTATATTTAACAATATAGGAGACAATTCTCCCATTGGGATGCAGTGGTGTATTCCACGACAGCAGAATCCCAGCAGAGCCCACTCTTTCACCTGCAAGGAACACAGGGGGTCCAGGATCTTAAAAAAAAAAAAAAAAGTAGTTGTTTTATATATACAGACACACACATGCACACACATAAAAAATAATTTTTAATTAAGTTTCCAGATAATGGAGACACCTTCACAGCTTCTGTAAAGAAATTAAATCATCTGCCAACATAAAACGGTATAACTACTGAAAGCTAATGATGTACTGTTGAATAAAAAGCTTTTTTTTTCTGGCTAGAGTCCTGTTACAAAAATGATTAAATGAATTTTGGAACACCAGGTGATGTACTGTTGAATAAAAAGTTTTTTTTTTCTGGCTAGAGTCCTGTTACAAAAATGATTAAATGAATTTTGGAACACCAGGAACAATCTTCTATAAGAATGTAAAAAATGTAATGCTCAAGATCTTCATGGACAAAACAGAGTTTAATGCCAATTTAATATTTGAGATATTCTATTATGTGTAATTTCAGTTCCTTTTCCTAAAACCATTCAAAACCAAACTGCACTCCCTCACAAAACATGTCTGATATGGCTACATTTTTTTGAAATCTCTCCGAAGTCTACCACTATACATATAAATTGGGGTATGGATATTACTACATGACACAATAGCAAATTTTCTGAAAGTTTATAAATTGTTGTCCTTTGTGCTTTTTTTTTCTTTTTTTTTCCTTTTTTTTTCTTTTTTTCTTTTCTTTTTTTTTTTTTTTTAAATAGCCAAGCTAATGGACGAATAGAACTACAACTCACATCCAGGGCTGCTTCTTAAAATTATCTGACAGAGAAACTCTCATGCTTTCATAGGATACCTTAGACTCAAGTGTATTTTTTAATGATTAAAGAAGATGAAAAATTCTAATGACTGTTCAAAACTCATTATCATTTCTCAGATACTACTGTGCATATAATAAATTCAAAAAAGCATAGTTAAAAAAATCAACAAAATTTCATCAGTCATTATTAACTCACTTGTCACATTTGTTGTCACTGTTCTACTTGCAGGTGAACTGTAGAGTGAAGAAGAAACTGTAGAAACTGTAACATTGTATGTTGTTCCAGGAATAGTATTAGAAATATCAGCCTGAAATAGGACATAGATTTATTTAAGTCTTTTACCAAGAACCATGGAAATGAAAAAAATCAAACAAACAAACAACAAACCCAAAAGTTTAAGTACTGCATTGCTGGAAGTGATCCGTTAATGAGTTTTTAGAAATACAACAGTATTTACAACAGTAAAGATAGTAGTTTACATCTGTTAGCTACGGTACAGTATTTTGCCATCTTATTTAACTACTCTCCATAAGATTTGTATAACATTCAATATTAAAGAACAACAAAATTAATTACTAATGTTATCACAGAATCACCTGTCAGTGCATCTATAGAGGTTTTTCTGTATCATCATCGTTATCAAAGTAAATATGAAGCATTATAATTTTTTTTTTTAACGAATAAACACAAAAGCAGCCTGAAAAGCTTACAAGTTTCTCACCCTTAAGGTAGCTCATCTTTTGAAATAAACATAATTAACAACTTTTTAGCAAGCATTTATATAAAATACCTGTATCTTTGCAGTTCCAATAAAAAGCAAAAGCAAAACAACCAGAACAACCATTATTTCTGTTAATATTATTATATTTTCCAGACAGCAGAATCAAAAAGTGCTCCTATTTCTTTTTGATGGCTTAGCAGTGAAATGTTGCCTGCATTAATGATTTAAGCACAGATCTTCCTGGCAAGTACACAATTAATGAGTCTGTATTACTCAATAGCTCTGCCCTTCCTTTGTTAAACTATTCATGAACCCTTGGATGACTGGCTGTATCCTTCTAGCAGACTTAAATTCACTACGTGTTGTTACGTAACAAACTCTGGATGTTGAAATTTGTTCTCACCAATTTTTCATTAATACTTTCATATTCATATTTGCATCAAATAGCTAACTAGGCAAGCTTGAATTCCTCATCAGCACAGTGCATAAGGAAAAGGTGGCCATGCAAGTCCTGTAATAAAAGCACATACTTGATACTCCCTAAGTCCAAGATCTAGGATAACAACAGAACCCTGATCAGGAGCAAGATCCACGTGAAATCTGTCTACATGTCCATATGGTAGTCTCCAATACAGTGAAAAAGAATATGATGAAACATTGAAGAATTTAAGCCCTTCTGGCTTTGCAGGTTCTGAAAGAGAATTGGGGAATAAAAAACATTAACTTCAATAGCCCCCTTTACAAACATATTAGAAGGTACAGCTGAATATAAAAGCATCCAGGAACAGTGTACTTGCTGCATGAAGGATGATTGCTGATTAGCCTGGATATAGCAGTACATTATGCTACAGCTGCTATACTACCTCTGAGACTTGGTTGATAACCTCCCAACTATGCAGTGCGGACATCCCCATTTGCAGAGAGCACGCTCAAGTGTCTCTGCTCAGTGTTCCACTAACAAAGAATCTCTGCACAGTCCTGGCGTTACTGCTGTCCTCAAGCTTAAAGCTAGCACTGCTACTGTCATAAGGAGGGCTATTGTTAAAATCCAACATACAGCTGTTGCTTGTTCTTTTGCTAGCCACAGGGTAGTTAACTCTTATACTCTTCCTATATTTAGAATCCCTGTAATTCCATGAATTCCAGTGAGTTAAGTCCACTAAATTTGGATGGTTTACTCCTTTTATTAAAGCCAAACCTGTCACACCATTTCACTTTCTTCTGCCCTTAACTGCACTTTTAAATCTGTATCATCCACTCAAAGCCTAAAAATGAATCCGATTTTAGCCTCAATAGCTCATTAAAACATTATCTACCTTTAATATTGTATAATTTATCCACGTGTGCAATCCGTAGCCATGTGCATCTGTCTCCTTTCTACTTTGGAAAGATGCACAGCTAACAACTGTCCCTATGTTTATTTCCCAGAGCAAGCCCAGTCAGTGATGCTATTCATCACATTTGAGATTCACCACTACCCTTGCACTCAGTCCTCTGTCTGCCTTACTAACGTGGTTCTTCAGAACTCAGACTAAATCTTCGTGTACTGCTTATACATTAATATCGTACCGTGCAGCCTGAATATCATATTATTGTATCCTGAAAGAGCTCCACTCCTTTCTTTCTTACTGTAAATCTGCTGAGATTATATATCTTTCATGAACTCTTTACATTGACTATCCAAATTTGCAGAATCATTTCAAACAGATTACACCAGTTTTGCTATCAGTCTGTCTGAAATACTAATATATCCAAATATTACCTTCAGATTTTATGTTCAGTATATATTTGTCTTATATGTAAGATTTTTAACTTGTTGCTTTATTTTAATACTAACAGAACAAAAAAAATATATATGTGCTGGTGTGCAAGTGCAACTGAGAGTGTAATTTCTTCCTTTTAGCATATTTTTATAAATTTTAAGTCCTACTGCTATCATCAGTACTATTATTTCCATGGATCTCAACTTCCTTTAAAGCTGGATTTTATGCTTACAGAGGTTTTTTTATACAGACCCATGGTTAATCTCTGAGTGTACAGTTATCACAATACTTAAGGTCATCACTTTACCTCAGCTTAATTACTTCTGATGCAGCAGTAGAGTGTAAAAATGTCCTCATGGAAAGAGAAATTTAGTCCCATGAAGCTAATGCTCTTCCTACTATTATCCCATGACTGAGAATTACCCTTCCCAATGATGCTGAAAAAAAGCCTCAGTTCTACCCTTCTGCAGATTTAACCACATCATCAGGGAATGCATATGTGTGTGGTTCACCCGAGCCTCATTGCACCTGCTCTTCTACAGTCCTCTCTGTTTCATGCACATGCACGCACATTTCTTACCAGCAGTGGTGGGCATATTTGTATAAAGTATATAGCCAGTATATTTGTGTAAAGCATAGTCAGAACACTTTGCTGTAAATTTCACAATTCCACCTACAAAAATGCTACCTAATATCGGCAATATATATTCTGAGTGAGTGGATTGAACATTAGTTGAGGTCGAGTAGATACATTAGTGAATACGGAGTGCAAAATACATGTTATTTTTTCCAAAAATTAACCATTATAAACCAGCAAGCTTAACATCGCAATGTAATCTAATACATTTAAGTAAAAGGAAGCACAATTAGATCAACCAAACTGACTTAAATCTTCCCTGCATTGGAAAAAAATACTAATTGTAATTAAAGCTTTATAGCATTGCAGTCCTACTTTAAACTTTAAAAGACATATAAGATTTTTTCTTATTAATTTTACCCTCAAGACTTTATCTCAAAACAAATGTAAGGATTTTCACCCCTATGTCGCTTTATTTTAAAGGCTCTCTTTGACCTCTTGCTTCAGTCCCCCTGACTAAGGTAGAAGCACCAACAGTTTGTCAAGCACTGATCCCAAAAGCATACATAGAAATGTCATGACATTTGGTCAAAGTAGTCAATCAATGACAACTTCCAACACTTCTCAGGTCTCTCTCATACCACCATGTCATTGCCACAATAAACCCTATAAAAAGGAGTATAAGAAAGTAATAAAAGAAATTGGTTGAGGTAGTTCTAGTGCATCTTTCTGTTCTTTAAATTTCATCTGTATTTTCCATTATTACATTACAGTAAACTGCAGACACATGTGTCGAGATTGAGATTTTACCTTACTAAGTTTTAATCACAAATCTAAGAAACAGTCCTTGAATGGAGTAGTTTACAATCTAAAGCCTTAAATCTACAAACATTTGTTAACTTGTTTAACTTCACTCACTGCAAAACCCTACTGAAATCAGATAAGGTAAAAAGCTCGTGCATAACTCTTTGCAGGATAAGACCTGAAAAATAATGAAAATACTAAAAATGGTCAAAAGAAATGCAGCACAGCTAAAGAAATTATGTTTCTGGTAGCATATCACCAGATGCAGTTTGAATAGGGCATGGGTAATGTATGTCCACAACCACAGAAAACTATTACATGCAAGATCTCTTGAAATTTCAACGTTATTCTACAAAGTGAGATGTACAAAGCTAAATGTGCACTGTTATTGACAGCTACCATTGACTGGCAAGGAAAGAAAGCAAGAAACCATACAGACCTGTTACAATTTCAATGAAAGCAGAAGCTCCTTCAATATTTCCTCTTAGTCTTTGCAGTGTGAAATTATAAATGCTCCCAGCAGTCAGGTCTGTAACACTGAAGTCAGTCAGTGCTCCTGGAATCCTGAACTTGTTTATAAAGGTGTTGTTTGATAAAGATGCTTTATAAGAAGTGAAGTTAGTCTTGGTTGGATTCCACATTAAAGTTGCAGAGGAAGTATTTACCATTTTTAATGCCAGACCGCATATCCCAGCTGGTTCTACAGTAAAAATTATTCAGATTAATAAAGAAAAAAATAATGCATAGTTCTTAAAATATAAGAAAAATACCCTTTAAAAAAAATATATGGGTTTTATTTAAATGATTTGAGGGTTCACAGCATCATGAAATACTCATACAAATTTTAGAAGTATGTTTGTATGGATACATAGTAAACAGTGCCATTATGTTGCACAGGGTAAAACCTGGGGATGTACCTCCTGTGTGCACTATGTAATTTATGGAAGAAAATTCCAGACTTGTCAGATCTTCTATAAGAACACTAACATTGCTCACTGGTGAAACAGGATGAGAATGGAACACTTTGTAGACAGAATTAGTGATTTTATTCAGTTAAAAGTTTTCTAAAATACATCATAGAATCATGGAATGCTTTGGGTTGGAAGGGACCTTAAATATCATCTAGTTCCAACATCAGGAACATGATGATGATGATTCTGCTGCACTTTTCATTGACAAGAATCTGCAGGACTAGATCTGGGTTTTTTCAGAGATTCAGTCGTCTTTGAATAACTAAGTGCAGAGCCTCCTTGACTACCAACTGGGTTAAGGAGTTGTAGTCCAAACAAACAACAGAAAATCCATCAAAGAAGGATGAGGTCTATGACATGCATGTGTATAAATCTGGGAGTTGATTTATTTTCTGACTACACTTAGCTGCTCTTTATCTGCTTTGGCAGTCCAGAATACAATATAGATCTATTCCTTCAAATTTCTGCCACAAACAAAACCCTTCTCTTTTTACACTGTATCACAGGAACATTGGAAAATCCATGTTTGCTCAGAGACAGGAAATGAGTGCAAGATACAGGTGAATTTTCTGGAAATACAATTCCTCTTACTCTTTTAAGCATTCTGTGGCCTTGTACAGGAGCAATCCTCCAATCTTAGACCATGGGCTTGCAAGAATTTAAGAGATGCCGAAACAATTGTAAACAAGATGCAAGGTAATTCATAAAGTATAGGATGCTATTCTGGTAAAATCTTATTCTGCTAGAGCTGGAAGAATTTTGTGAGTCCACCTTTTTTCAAATGGGTATCTGCAGCTATGTCTTCATACTCAGTGAGTTACTTACAAGATTCCTGTTTAAATAACTATCATATGAGGAAGCAGAACTTGCCCCCCCAAAGTTAAAGTTTCTTTTTGAACTGTGTGACCCTTTTGAGTTACTTACATACAATGATTTAAATGTCTCTGAACATCGACTGTTTTTCAAAAAGAAAAAAAAAAGACAAGTTATAATGTATTTCCTTACTTGTGATGACTTTTTTCTCCACAGCCACAGAGGAATCCAAGCCTTTAACTGTCCTTAACTGAAAAAAGTACTCTGTCCCAGGGGCCAGGTTTTTCACTACAGCTCTGCTGTCATAAACAGTTCTGGTAAGCAGCTTTTCATTATTCATCAGATAATATGAAAGCTATGGAATAAAAATAATTTCTGATATCAGACTATTTCACTTCACAAAAGCAACATTCAGAGATTTCAACTACCTGTTTATGTAAAAAAATTTCAATATTTTCCATATTTTAAAGGAAAAAAAAAAATCAAGAATATGGCTTAAGCTTTATATTATGTTCCACAAGGTTGATGATACACTACTTTAAGATTCCTTAATAGCCCAGTGGTGAAAGCAGTTACTATAATCTTCAAAAGTATTTGGAGGAAGCAAACTTAAGTCGTGGTTTACAGGTGACATGTTTTTGCTCTTGGAGGAAGGATAATAAAGTGTACTCTGACTGCTCAGTCACACAGCTGTACTGACCAGCTGTACAATTAACTACAAGATAGAAAGAATGAGAATAGCCAAGGGGTAGAAGAGCAGTCTAAGGATTAATCAACAGGATGAGATAAATTTTTTTTTATTCTAAAGTGGAGACACTTTGAAATCTCTGTATCTTTCTTGTAATAAAAAGCCCCAAAAATAAACAAAATCAAACAAAACTAACCAACCAAAAAACGCCTATGCACTGTTCAGACCTGAGATTCTGGAGTCCCAAGAAATCAGCCACTCAACTCTGCTCACTGGTATACCTTGAAAACTCACTTGTTTAGAGCCCCTGCAGAAAATAAAAGTGCTGGAGATGATAGATACCAAGTAATTGAAATTTGGGCACTTAACTCCTAGAGGCTGTAAGGATTCCTTCTGACCTCCCAGATAACTCTAAGGTGAGAAAAAAAATTCCTGTGATAGTCCTTTCTGTGGACACATGAAAATGTTACTGCAGACTGTTTCATACCTGCACTAGTGAAAAGGCAAGATGCACACTGAATCCGCGCTGCAGAGGAGGGCTCTAGACAGACATCTCCAGCACGCACACATGAGTTTCTCAGGCGTGGCAGTTAGTATTAAGAGATCAAGAAGGTTTGCAACTGTCTACATTAGTGTGTCCTGTCCTGCCATCCGTTATTTCCTCCAACAGAAGAGGGATATTCTACACATGGCAGTGACCTGAAAGTGCTTGGGTTCAGTTGCTATTCATTTGGGGAGGAACGATCCAATTCCCCTCTGTATATTTTACCAGCACAGTACCTGTTAATACACACTAAATCTTGGCGACTGTCATCACCTTAGTAGAATTACAGCAGTGCAAAATGCTAGAAGAAAAGCTATAGATTAAAGATTTACATCTAGTACAAACAAGTTAGGAAAGTACCTTTTGTGCACTCTTTGCTACAATATATTGCATAGAAAGTCGGTGAGCTGGGATAATTAATTTTAAATGATTAGTAAAATGATCCCTTTTATGCAGGTGCACCTTACTAAGCAACCAGTCTACTGAAGCCTTTCTCATTAAAGATTTAAAGATAAGCTCATTTATTCAGACAAAGCACTGTCTAATGTGGCTGTTCGCTCTATGAGATGCCGAACAATAATACTGTGCCATAAAGATCAATATTACAGATGACAATTACTTTCCACAGGATGGTAAAAATAACCTGATCCCCACAAAAGTATATCTGAACTGGTTCAAAACATGAATGAGATAATTGAATTTGATTTTCAAATTTGTAAAAATGCTCCAGGCTACATCAAGCAAATTGTGTTGTGGTAGGTTAACTGGCTACTCTTACTCATTCAGATCAATGCAGCTTTACACTAATGAAGAGAGAAGAAATGTCAAGAAATTATACTAAGAATACTCAGATTTCAAGTTTTAGGTAAGGATATAATCAAAGTCATGGGGAAGAGGGAGGAAAAGAATTGGACGCTGTAATATTGGGGTATAGACTGTGTAAGACCATTATAGCAAAATACTTTGTCTTAGGGTAGTGCTACATACTAAAGAATACCCTAGTCAAGTAAGTTAACCATACAAGACTATTGCCTGAAATTGTATTGATTCAAATGACAAGTTTAAAGAACAGTTTACTATCACAAAGTTTTATTGACCACGTGACCGTGACTGCAAAATGCAAATAATAATACAAGACAGACTTCATAAGCCAGGATACAAAAGAGAGACTGGCTGAATGTCATAGTGAAACATGATCCACAGACGAAGCATTCAGATGCCACAGTGGATTGTTTCTGACCAGAGAACTGAAAAAACAGAAATAACTCTAGATTTTGTGGTAAGTGTTGCAAAGGATGTGGTTCAAACTACAAATGCTGAAGAGCCACTCTGTATACCAACCATGAAATATTAGTACTCACCTTCTTTGTAAGAATAGAACAAAAAAATCCAGCATAGTGACATTTAATTAGAAAAGGAGAAATACTTTAACATGATTGAGCAAATTAAAAGGAAATTATGAGGAGCACCCAAAAGCATCGTGGTATGAAAAACATTGAAATGAAACTTTAATACATAATACACCACTCAGAAAGTTTGTAGAGGGAATGTAGAAATAGCAAAACCATTTGAACAGTGAAGAGGATTACTTAAATAAAAGATACCCTTTACAACTGGAGATCATGTCAGAACAAGAAAAATAAAAACTATAAACTTGTCTAATTCATGCAAGCCACCTTAAGAAGCACAAGGAAGCAGAGCAGAGTAGAAACACACATCAGCAGGCCAAAAGAGACCGAAGAGCAAACTGAAAATGGTATGACAACTAATGAAAACAATAATTTAAACACACAATAAGCTTATCAGGGTGTTGGGGAGGCCACTAGCTGACCAAAGTACAAAGGGAACACTCAGTACAGACAAGCCCATATGAGAAACAGTAACTGAATTATTTGTTTTGATGGTCAAGGATGTGCCCAACACTGAATCATTATTAATCAACTATGAATTTTGAGTCAAATTGAGCTATCTTAAATTGGTTTGTCCACAGAAGAGGTTTATTAAAAAGTCTGACAGTAGTCAGAAAGGTAGACAGCATGTTATTGCCTAGGAAAGGAATAAGAAGCAAAACAGAAAACACTAATAATCTTTTGATAACTCTATTGTGCACCTACATCCTAGGTGAGCACCCGATCTCAAGAAGGATATCAAAGGCTTAGAAAAATTAAAGGAAAAAAAAAAAAGAGCTATAGAACAGCTTCCACACAAGAATATTGCACAAAAGACAATTGAGAAATTAAAGCTTATAAAATTATGAAAGGTAGAGGTGAATAGGGAAGTACTAGCTAGTTCTAATACCGCAAGAACCTAAAGAATACCAGGTTTAAAATAAAAAGAAAAAAGTGTACTCTTTCAAACAGGGCACAAAAAAAAAATTGAAGTATAAAGGATTAAACAAATTCAGGAAAAACAGTCACTGTTTTTCTTATGTATGTCCAGTTTCAACCTATCACTCAGGAAATCCCTAAACTATCCAGTGCCCAAGGCCGGAAGGGTACAGGAGGTATCAAATATTTGCAGTTTTGGCTTGTAAGTTGCTTCATTAAAAAAAAAAAAAAGTTTTATTCTGCAACTTTCTAAACAAAACATTTAGATACTTCTATATAGAATGAATTTTTTATTTTGCAGTTTAATGAAATTAATTTGTATTACAAATTTGGAAAGTTAAGAAAAAAAGATTACATTGCAGTTGCATTCAACGCCTAACCTCTAATCTTCTTTTTCATTGCACTCTAGCTGAAAAGTCAGTTTTTGAAAGCTTTTAAAAGCACAATTTTATAATCTTTTAAAAAAATTGTTATGTAATATGAAATATGTATTTAGCCGAGCTTCCCCCCATAGCAGTATTTCCCTGCTTTCCATAAATTTCCATATTTATGTGGGTTATAAAGACAAATATTAATTGTTGAGTTTGCAGTACATACAGGATGATAATTTCACTGAGAAATTTAAAAAAAAAAAAAAGGTGTAAAGGATTACATTGGTTTCTTGCCATTCTTATCTCACCTGAAACATATCAAATCCTCCTCTTGGTAGTTTCCAAGAAAAATAGACTGTATTTTCTTCTTGCCCAAACACCTGTACATCTGATGGTGGATCAGGATCTGAGGTAAAGACAGGAGTGGATGCAAAATTTAATATAATTTTTAAAATAATCTATATTAATTTGAAGGACATTAATATCTACAGAAGACACTGCTGTAATTCATTATTTTATAGTTCAGTGTAGAAGCAGATTTCATTTTTTACTTAAGAATATAAAATAAATTAAATTCACCTCTACATATTAGCAATAGAATCAGAAATAAAATAAATGTAAATTTTTATGGGAAACA